CATTTCGTACGAGAAATCATAGAAGAAGGTGGAGTCACAGTGAAGAAAATTCATACTACGGAGAATCCTGCTGATATGGTGACAAAGGTGGTGACTGCGGTCAAGTTTCAACATTGTTTGGATTTGATCAACATTGTTGAAAACTGAAGATTGAAGATGAAGACACAATCAAAATTTGTTATTGAGAGAAAATTGAAGATGTGGAATTTTGTCAAGGTGGAGATTTGTTAAGTTTGGCAAATAATTTTGTCCCACATCGGTGGGAAAAGAAGAGTTGGGGGGATTTTCCTCCTATAAAAGAAGGCTTAATGTTTAGGATTTAAACACACCTCTCATTTGCCTTCTTATCTTCTTAAGGCATTTGTATCTTCTCTCTTTAGTATTATTTCACTTGTATTTTGGAGTGGAATAAAATATTGGTTGTGTCCGAGGAGTAGGCAAAATTAGCCGAACCTCGTAAATTCTGGTGTTCCTTTTATTGTTGCTTTATTGTCTTATTTATTATTTGGTGGCTGTCATAATTTTTGGTATAGTAGTTATGACTTATTCACACTATATACATTTGGCTTCCGCAACAACATCGACCTTCTTTTTTCTTCCCTTTGATATTTTCAGTTTAATAGAATATTTTAGGCTGTTAAAATCTTCGATATCCCGCATGCTTCGCTGGAATTTGGTCAATTTAACTTATAGTAGTATACAACACAATGAGAAACTAAGTGGTAGTTGGATCAGACAATAGTTCAATTTTTTTTCTTTTGGTTTTAGGAGATTCAGTTTTATGTATAATTCCTTAGAATTAATTGACTCATGTCCAGATATGGATTTTGGATCATACGTTTCTATTGGACATGGATGGAGATCAAGCAAGAACGCTTTCCAATTTGACATCATATCTTAGCACATGACCATCTTTAGTGGCATTTTCCCATTTGCATATAATAGTTCTCAATATGATGAACTAGAAACAAATCAACACATTATTTATAAAGATTTTGATCTAACTTCAATGCAAATTCTTTAACTTGTTTAAGAAAGCGTTTATAAGTTGCTTAATCCTCTAATTCATAAACTCTATTTAAGTGATTTCTTCATCTTCTTTTACGTTATTGCCTCTTGGAAACTTTCAAAAAGTAAAATTATCTATTGAATTCAATTTTGAGTTATATAGGAGTTTATTTTAGTGCGAACTAGCCACTCGTTCTATTTCGTTGAATAATGCAAATAACATACTATTAAGTTTCTTTTTGAGGCATTTCTAGCAATATTAATATAGTAATAAGTCTTCATCCAAAACAAATTCAAAGTTGGAGTTCGACAATATCATATAAAAACCAAGAAAGTGGAGTTGCAGTTTTAAATAATTCTAGAGTCTGTTTCTAGGAAGTAACCTCTATGTGACTTGTTCAAATTTTTTTCTCCCGTCCTTTTTTACACGTTCAAAGCACTATTCCTCTTTTTGTTAAACTATTTAGAATAATTTTATAGCTCACTATTACAAGTAAGCAGACTATTCGTCTTATATTTCCATCATCAGTATTCAGTTGCTGCTGAAGTTAAGCTCTTCTATCTTCTCGAGATATTTGGATTAGTTTTACACAATGGAGTGCAAGATTTCCTGGAACTCTTATAACTTAATGTTTCTCCTTTTTGTGCTATGTTCTGGTGCAGGTATTTCATTATATATTCAAGTAGTAGCTCTTTACATTCAAAATTCAATTGGAGTGATTCTTGTTTACTGATAAAATCTGTAATCTAATTAATTGAGTTTCTTACTTTCTATCGCAGCTGCCTTTGACGCATTGGATCCAAATGGAAACATAACAATCAAATGGGATGTGCTTTCTTGGACTCCTGATGGTTATGTGGTAAATATATTGGTACCATTATGTTATTCAAATTTTAATAGGCAGTTTTAGATTTTTGGTACATGAATTCTTGAAATTTTTCAGGCAGTGGTGACAATGAACAATTACCAAATGTATCGTCCGATAATGAGCCCTGGATGGACTTTAGGATGGACATGGGCAAAGAATGAGGTAATTTGGTCCATGCTGGGAGCACAAGCTACTGATCAAGGGGATTGTTCAAAGTTTCGAACTAACATTCCTCACAGTTGTGATAAAAATCCTAGCATTGTTGACTTGTTGCCAAATACCCCTTTTAACCAGCAAATTGCTAACTGCTGCAAGGGTGGTGTTTTGGATTCGTGGGGAAAAGACCCTTCTGCTGCTGTCTCTGCATTTCAGATTAGTGTTGGCTCTGCTGGGACTACAAACAGAACTGTCAAACTTCCCAAGAATTTCACTTTGCGCGCTCCAGGACCTGGATATACCTGTGGTCCTGCTAAAATCATTGCTCCCACTATTTTCATCATGCCTAATGGTAGACGAATGACAAAGGCAATGAGTAAGTTTGATTTTCGATAGTTCTAACCGAAGAATGAAAGTAAATAGTGTTGGCTAAGTCTGTCTCTAACAGCCTGAATATTTTGGCTCGATGTGCAGTGACATGGAGAGTGATATGCACTTACTCTCAGTTCTTAGCCTCCCCGAGACCAACATGTTGCGTCTCCTTGTCTTCTTTTCCCAATAGAAGTATCACACCTTGCCCTTCGTGTTCTTGTGGCTGCCAGAATAGCAGCAACTGTGTCATGTAAGATATGCATTTCCCATTGTTCAGAGCTTTATATTAAGTACTAGTAGTCGATACTTTTCTCTCTTATGAAGGTACTGATGCGCATAACACATTTAAACAAGTAACAATTGGCCTCGTTAAGTAGCTATAAAAATAACGAACAAGTGTAATTGCAGGAAGACACCGAGTGGAGAGGGAGTAAATGCGCCAAAGAAAGTAAATAAGCCAGTGCTGCAATGTACAAAACACATGTGCCCTATCAAAGTGCACTGGCATGTGAAATCAAACCACAAGAAGTATTATAGAGTGAAGATCACCATCACAAACTTCAATTACCAATTCAACTACACACAGTGGACACTCGTTGTTCAACATCCAAATTTCAACAATGCTACCAAAGTTTCCAGATTTGCATACAAGCGTCTCATGCCTTATCAATCGATTAGTATGCCCTCTATCTCTTTATTTGATTCATATGAATAAAAAAGACATATTCTTTGGTTATTATCCATCAAGGCGTTCATCGGGCTGATGATATTCTAATTATGCAGATGATACTGCCATGTTTTATGGGAGAAAGTCATTTAATGATGTCCTGATGCAAGCTGGACCAAAAGGAAATGTCCAGTCAGATTTAACACTTGAGAAGGATGGAAACAAACTTACACTAAGGAAAGGTTGGGCTTTCCCTCGGAGGGTTTACTTCAACGGCAATAACTGTGTGATGCCATCTCCTGAATCTTAGCCGTTTGTTCCAAATTCTTCCGGATAAAGAGTGTTGCCCAACTGTGGTTCTTCTGTTTCTCTTGGTATTCTTAGCCTGTGGTGGTATTTGGTGATAAATATTGAAGAACAGGAATGTATTAATGAGTATTACAATACACTTGACAATTTCCAGAACTTGTGAAGAGTTATAATGAAAAATAAGGTGCTTAATCAAGCACACTGAAATCGTCCAACTTTTCTTATAGATATCAATTTTTACCGAGGCATCCGAGCTCACGTGCTAGGATTTCTTCAATTTGAAAAACATCCTTGACACAGCTATCCTGCTCTTAACGATGTATAATGCTCCCAAGAATATTAAATTAAGTTGAAAGGTGTTTAACTAAAAATCTGAGTCTTTGATCAAAACTAGAAATAAAGAGAAATTCGGGTTACTGATAATCTGGAGACGAAAATAATAGAAGATTTCTGAGAATAATAAAGTAATAAGTAATTTTGTATTTCAGTGTAATCTCAATAATATTTCGTGTCCTTACAGATGTTGAGTCCTTCTCCTTTTATAGTTGATTCTAGGAGAAGATGTAATGCCTTTGTCTTAATGAGGCAATTATGAGCAATAAATGACATTTAAAAGAAATGTTACACAATCATTTCTATTTAATTCAGATTCTCTAACGTATTTGATATTTAATGTTGTATTTAGACGCTTTTACGTCATCAGATTCGTATCTTCAACATCTTCCGATCTTTGATCTTTAAATGACTCGAATAGGTACGAGACTCGTACCTATTTTAGTAACGGTCCACACCTATGTTGCTTTCTTTTCCCCATTTCTGTTGTCGCCCGTGCCTCTTGGTTATTTATTGCGTTTTGACCTTTTGACCAGTCCACGTGTCATGACACGTCATCTTCAATATTCAGACTCAGTTTTTTCCCAATACAAAAGGGAAGACATACAAGAAAAAAAAAACTCTGCTCTTCGAATACGTTTTACAACTGCAAGTTGCGGTTGTGGACTGTTATAGATAATGATTGCTTAATATTCTCATCAAATTCGGATTCTTATACTGTTACAGGGTAGTAGTTTTTTGCGTTTTTAAGGGAAGGGGTGGAGGTTAATAATTTTGTTATACATAATCAAGAGCAATTAAGACGTAACATCTACTATAAAGGGCCAGTGAAGTCACTAATCAGAAGTGATAATATATCCCACCTAGGAAATGACTGCTTAGCTATTGCGTTCAAATGTCCCATTTTCTCCCGCCTTTCACAACTTTTCATAGGTGAGAGTATTATAGAGTGGGGTTGGGAAAATGATATTATGGCATAAAACACCCAACAACCATTAGGTGTAGCATCAACATGAATTTATCTTCTGCTTAAAATCCCTCTCTTTTAATACTCCAACTTCATTCTTTTAGAAATAACATAAGATCCTTAAAGACATATGAGACTAAAGATGTCTCAGAAAGGAATGTCTTTTGAGGGAAAAGATTGTTCCAATCAATGGCAACTCCTCCTCTTATTTCCTCTAGCAAAGCTGATCTTCTTCGCATTCGTCTTGTCTGCTATCTTGCCTCATGCAGGTACAGTACATACCTATAGATAGGAAATTGTGTATTATAATAGCCTCTTTCTCTTTGTTCTTTGGTAATCAATTACATATTCTTTTCTACCTTCAGATGCATTTGATCCATTGGATCCATTTGGTAACATCACAATAAAATGGGATGTCATGTCTTGGACACCAGATGGCTATGTAGTAAGTATTTTCTTAAAACAATATCATGTCACGAAAGATTATACGAGTAATTGACAATGTGAAAAATTCATCCAGGCTGTAGTAACAATGAATAATTTCCAAATGTATCGGCACATTATGAGCCCGGGATGGACATTAGGATGGAACTGGGCAAAGAAAGAAGTGATATGGTCAATTGTGGGAGCACAAGCAACAGAGCAAGGTGACTGCTCTAAGTTTAAAGGAAACGTACCACATTGTTGCAAGAGGGACCCTGTAATTCTGGACTTGCTTCCTGGAGTTCCTTACAACCAACAGTTCAGCAATTGCTGCAAAGGTGGTGTTATGGCATCTTGGGGCGAAGATCCTTCCGAGTCAGTTTCTTCCTTTCAGATTAGTGTTGGACTTGCTGGAACATCAAACAAGACGGTGAAATTGCCCAAGAATTTCAGTCTGCTTGGTCCAGGACCAGGCTACACTTGTGGCCCTGCTAAGATAGTTCCATCCACTGTTTTCCTCACTGCAGATCACAGGAGAAAAACTCAAGCATTGAGTAAGTTTCCCTATTTTTTTCTCTGTTTTCGGTCATTTCAAGAAGGGCATTAATTCCATTTTGTCAGTTTGGAAAAGTTAAATAAATAAACAATCAGGTTGATGAAAAAATTAATTGCAGTGACCTGGAATGTGACATGCACCTATTCTCAGTTTCTGGCGTCCAAGTACCCGAGTTGTTGTGTTTCTTTCTCAACTTTCTACAACGACACCATCACTCCTTGCCCAACCTGTGCTTGTGGTTGCAACCGTAAACACAACTGTATCATGTAGGTATTCTTTTCAGTGGAACTGTATTGAAATGGAGAAAAACAAATTCTCAAATCTTGAACAGTGTCTTAAAAGGCGTGGGCGTAAGGCGAGACATTTTACATATGCCTCAGCGAGGCGTAAGCCCCGAGGATGGGGCGTAAGCCCCATAGGTATAATAATTTTTAATATTTTTATAAAATAATATAACTACAGTAAATATTTATAAACATGTAAAATTGCATAAAAATGAAAAAAACTGTAAATATGTGATATATATATATATATATATAATATATATATTATATATATATATATTATATATATAATATGTGATATATATATATATATATATAATATGATATATACATATGTAAATATGTGATATATATATATATAATATGATATATACATATTTACAGTTTTTTTCATTTTTTATGCAATTTTACATGTTTATAAATATTTACTGTAGTTATATTATTTTATTGTAGTTATATATATATATATATATAGAGAGAGAGAGATGTGCTTCATCCCCACAAAAAACTAGTCAAAACAATCTATTATAGGCTACTTAGAAGCTCAAGTAACTTGAGTTGAAAAGAATAAAGTATTCTATATGGAGGAACAAAAAGGATGATTAACCTGCAATTTGAACTTTGAATTTGCTGCAATGAAGGAGAATGAAGTTCTCTTTGTATTTGTAAAAAAAAAATTGAGTATTCGTTGCTTTTGGGAGATATTAGCAGACTAACGTACAAAATAAACAATTGGGAAAGACCTTCAACCAATAAAAAAAGGTCTTTGACTTTTAAATTTAATACATTTTAGTTCCTTTTTAAAACTTTTGAGTAATTACCAAGCTGAATTTTGAGAATTTGGATATTACATAAAGGACTTATGCAACAAATTTTGTTTTAATTTGCAAAAATCTCTGGGGCTTACACCTCACTAAAAAAACGTGCCTCAAACGTCCGGACGTACGCCCCGAATGCCCGGGTACGCCTCGATCGCCCAGGCGTACACCCCGAATTGCATACTTTCGCCCCACACCATCGCCCTGGGGCATTTTTGGTGCGCCTCGCCCCGAAAACGCCTTTTAAAACACTGATCTTGAAGTTTTGTAATTGCAAAAGTTGAGCTTTTCCACTAACAATTGCTAATCAGTCTACTGGGATTCTGATGATGCAGGAGCGACTCAGAGAAACTGAAAAAGAAGGGAATAAACACTCCAAGAAAGGATAATGAGCCATTGCTGCAATGCACCCACCACATGTGCCCAATACGCGTTCACTGGCACGTTAAGATCAATTACAAGGATTATTGGCGAGTCAAGATTGCTATCACTAACTTCAACTACAGATTGAACTATACACAATGGACACTTGTTGCACAACATCCTAATCTCAACAATGTAACTCAAGTTTTCAGCTTCAACTACAAGCCTCTCGTGCCATACCAATCCGTTAGTGAGTGCATATGAATGCGAATTTAGTACTTTTTTTCTCATTCTTAATTTCGTACAGAAAAAAACTGAACTGAACTTAACGATCATGCTTGATACACAGATGATACTGGCATGTTCTATGGCATGAAATTTTACAATGATCTCTTGATGGAAGCTGGACCTGCGGGGAATGTTCAGTCTGAGGTGCTTATGCAAAAAGATAAGGAGTCATTTACACTAAAGTCTGGATGGGGATTTCCCCGCAGAGTCTACTTCAATGGAGCTGAATGCAAACTCCCTCCTCCGGATTCATACCCAACTTTGCCCAACTTTACTGAAAAACGACCATTTTCATTTTCAAGCACTGTAATTTGCATGATTTTGATGATTTTCCTAACCTGGTAATGGCAAAAACATTTCTAGGACAGAAGCAACAACAGAATCTGCTGGCCCTTCTGATAATATTAGACTGTATTCCATCAATGAAAGAGCTTGCTTAGGTTGGTTTGTATTGCATGCATGTAGAAAGAACAGTGAGATTGCACCTGTCTATTTTTGTCGTATATCTGGAGATAGCATTTCATTTCACTTATGTATAAGATTCTAGCTTTCTGCCAAATCTTTCTCAACATCATTCAATAGTGTACATCAAATTTTTCAAGATGTAGGGCACTGATGCATTATCATAAAGGGTTACAATTCTCAAAGATATACAATTCATCTGTTAAATCTCAATGCAATTGAACTGGAACACAGCAAGCCAATAGTTACATCTACAAAATCACAAGTACACCTTCACATTTGGGAACCTTGGACTGAAGTTGCAAAAATGATGCCTTTAAATTTACTGAAGGCATCCAGGTTGATATAAACAAGGGTAGAAAATTCTCTCTTTTGGAAGCAATGACAATCCTTAGTTCTATTTCTTTCTTACAATATTACAAGGTGTGTGAATATAGTAGAATCAGAGACACCAAAACTGCTGTCAGAGAGTGAAGTAGAGCGAGGGCACTATGGGCACTAGCATTTGGTAGGTAAGGATAGGCATCCGGAGGTGGCATAACACAGTTGTCCCCATTAAAGTAAACCCTTCGAGGGAAAGCCCATCCCTTTTCAAAGGTGAACCTCGATTTATCCTTCTGAAATATGATCTCTGATTGCACATTTCCAAAAGGTCCACCCTGCATTAGCAAATCATTGTAAAATTTGATTCCCCAAAACATAGCAGTATCATCTGTAAAAGATCAATTAAAAGAAAATCAGTTAGAAAGCTCAAATGTATATAAAAAGTTGTATTAACTTATCAAGGGGAAAGATTACTCACTAATGGAACCATACGAGACCAGTGGCTCATAATTAAAGCTGAATATCTGGGTGAGATTGTCAAAGTTGGGGTGCTGAACAACAAGATTCCACTGGGAATAGTTCATTCTGTAGTTAAAATTTTGTATGGTGAGTTTTACCCTCCAATATTCTTTATAGTTGGTCTTAATATGCCAATGAACTCGAATTGGACACATATGCTCAGTACATCGAACCAGAGGATTGTAATCATTTTTCCCTGAGCTTACAAGTGCTGAAGCTAAATATGGAGAGTCCGGTCTGTCAGAGAGCATAAAAATATCTTATGAATATTAAGAAGTTCCTGAAGCTAAAATGAAAAAGAAAGGGAGACTTTGAGATTAAAGATAGCGTCCACTCACTCTACACATGTTCCAGGTTGTGTTATGTTATTTTTGCAACCACAGGCGCATGTTGGGCAGTTCACAATGGTGTCATTGTAGAAGGAGGAGAGTGAGACACAACAGGTAGGTGTCTTCTGAGCTAGGAACTGTGAATACGTGCAAGTAACATTCCAAGTCACTGCAAGGAAAAAAAGATACAAGTAAAATGATTATACCACTCGCTAGTAGAAAAAAATAAAACAAATTTCATGGTCAAAAGGTAGGCGTCTTATACCGATGTGTCATGTCATTAGTGTCTTGAGAAACTAAAGGAATGGAATAGAAATAACAATATAGTTAATTGAAAAAGAAAACATGCAACCACTGAAAAAAGTTTTTCTTGCATACTCATAGCTTGATAATCCACTATAACTTACTCAAAGCTTGAGTGACCCTTCTTCCATCTGGTGTTGGAAACTTGCTTGGTTTCCCCTTCTTCGCAGGTCCACAAGTATATCCGGGTCCTGGTGCCTTGAGGGTAAAGTTTTTCGGCAACCTCACTGTCTTGTTGCTTGTTCCTGCTTGACCAACACCGAGCTGGAATGAGCTCACAGCTTTCTGTGGATCTTGAACCCATGAGCTAATTACTCCACCTTTGCAACAATTTGCAGTTTGCTGGTTATACGGAGTTCCTGGCAGCAAATCAACAATGGTTGGGTCCCTTTTGCAGCAATGAGGAATATTTCCCTTGAATTTTGAACAGTCTCCTTGCTCTGTGGCTTGACTTCCCGTTGCACTCCAAATTACCTCTTTTTTGGCCCATGTCCAACCGAGTTGCCATCCTGGTGCTTGAATATGACGATACTTTTGGAAGTTATATATTGTAACAACAGCCTGCATAATTCAGGGGAGAAAATACTCTTTGGGTCAAGCACTCTGGATGGTATTTTAAGTGATGAGTGATTTTGCTACTAGATCAAAAGGAAAAAAAAAGAAAAAAATTTGAACTTCCATGTTGCACTAATTCAAATAGACAAGGAAATGATGCACTCAGAGAAACTTATAAAAACAAACATATCAACTTAAGTGTAGTCTTATGGGTCCTAAAACCTTTGATATATAAAATATGCTTAGATTGAAAATATGGACCAGCACAGCCTTTGTGTTTTTGATTAATACAGTGTACCTCTCTAAAAAAATGCTCAGATAGGAAAGATTATATAAGGGACCGATGTACTCTGCAGAAAGAGCTAATGAAATTAGAGCACATCATTGCCATTAAGGCTATTGTAGCATTTTATATTGGTAAAGAACAGAATTAAATACTTGAACCACCCTGAGGTTAGGTTGTTTATTCTGTGGAAGTGAGATAAGAGGGGACCTTTAAGATGTGTGTGTCCTATCATGTTTCAGACAAAACACAAAAGGAAAGATATATTCATCTATGTTTCTTCATGAGGAGTGAGGGATCAAAACGAAATCCCTGAATGGCAATCCAATTAGATTGGAAATGAGATAATGATATATTTGAAATGACGATCCTTCTAGATAGAGTCATATCTCCCTTTCCTGACGTTGAAGGATATTTCACTAGTAAAATAAGAGCAAATACACTCACATTATATCCATCTGGAGTCCAAGATATGATATCCCACTTGATGGTAATATTTCCATTTGGATCGAGTGCATCATAAGCATCTGCAACAATATTCAGCAAACAGTTAACTTCTTTACGCGAGCTCTAGAAACAGAGGGGGAAAGGACACCAAACAAATAGTGTTAGTAGTGGTTTAATTTCTACTATTTCTTGGAGTTTATTCCATATCCCAAAATTTGTTCTTCATAGAGACAAACAAAATTTCTAGAACTCATCCTTATAACTGAGCTAACAACAATCAGTAACCTGAACTAACTCGTCAACTTAGCCAACAAAAAATGCATATAGCCACAGTAACAGATTGCACAATTTTGATGTCCCAAGCATTATAAGTGTAACAGTCAGAGGTAAATATAATATGACAAATCTGAGATTATGTAGGTGAATCTAATATCAACAATGTGAACTAACTAATCAATCTAAACAAAATTCAGTAAAGTCACAATTTAATGAATACATATCAGATTGCTAGAATACAATTGGTTGACTTAAAAAGTAGGTGAATTTAATAGTCCTAGGTAAAATTAACTTAAAGGCATGGAAACAGATTTTGCTTCAAATAAAAAAGTAAGATAAATACCACCATCTTCCTGTTCGACAAACTTAAAACAAAACAAGGAACAAAACAAACAAGATGCAGAGAACCTGACTAAAACAATGGGGGAATGTCGATGCATAATATTAAAAAGATAATACTAGAAATTAACAATAAAGTCTTTTATAAGAAGGTCAAAATGTTCTAGAGTCTTCTACTGTGCTGCAGAGTAACCAAAGCTTAGCATGCACATCAACGTGCAAGACATTCTTGTTCCGTCAATAAACCAAACCACACTCAAAACTCGAATATCCAAACTATCTTTGACCAAAAACTTAAAATCAAAACAACTACACCAATGCCAAAAAATCTTCTTCTTCTTCTTCTTCTTCTTCTTCTTTTTTTTTTTTTTTTTTACTTTTATGACTCACCCACAATAAAAGAAAAGGAAGAACAAAGAACAACTTAGTCAGGTTGATTCTGCAAAACACCTTAGCATAATAAAAAATAAGAAGGAATGTTATATACTTTTTAGGGAAAATTTCATTAGTTGACGGAGGGAATGACACATTGAGTACTCACCTATAGATTTAAAGCATATTAGAGAGATCAAGAAAGCGATCAGAATAATAAAATTGCCAAATTTAGTGATTGATCTTGAGCTGGAACTAAGGCAAACCTCCATTGTTGAGTTTAAAAGCAAAAATGGTCGAGTATTTCTGAATTTTTGGAGTTGGGAAGAGTGACAAATATTTTGTGTGGGGGAATGCAGGTTGGCAGAGTAGGAGAGAGAAAGAAGATGGAAGGGAATTAAAATGTTGTAATGGCAAGGAATTAGCCTTTTGTAAACTGTGTTAATTAAAGGGAAGGGGCGAAATAGTCTTTATTGAGCCAACTGTCACCAGATTAGCACAATATTTAATTTTTCTTTGAGATTATGATTTTAATTTGGAACACTGATTGTAGCTTTTAAATTTTTATGGTACTAATATATCATCTCCTATTGCTTTTTTGAGCCGAGGATCTCCTGAAAACAGTCTCTCTACCCTTCGGGTAGAGGTAAGGTCTGCGTACATATTACCTCCTCAGACCCCACTTGTGGAATTATACTGGGTCGTTGTTGTTGTTGTATTGTAGCTTTTAAAGGAATTTTCAGGTTTCCATTAAATGCCACGGCAATAAGAGGGAAAAACAAAAAGGAACCTTTCCAATAGAGGAAAAAGAAAGGACAAATTGCCAGCCCTTTGTTGTAATTTTGGGAAAAGAGTTGCAGAAAAAGAAAAAGAAATCTTGTTTGACGGAAAAAGGAATTGAGGGGAGAGGTGCTTCACATTTATTTACCTTGTCAACCTTGTTTATCTTGTTGAAGATTTAAGGGGTTGTTTGGTTGGGTGTATAAGAATAGTGCGGAATAAAGTGTCTTAGTAATGCAGAGATTAGTAATGCAAGCATTCGTTATACAAATATTATTTCTTATCTACTGTTTGGTGTGATGCATTAAAAATTAGAATGCATTACATAATATTTAAGAAAAATAGTTGTTTATAATAATGCCCTCCATAGACAAGAGGGGTTGTTCTGATGGTAAGCAACATCCACTTCCAACCAAGAGGTTGTGAGTTCGAGTCTACCCAAGAGCAAGGTGGGAAGTTCTTGGAGGGAAGGATGTCGAGGGTCTATTTGGAAACAGCCTCTCTACCCCAGGGTAGGTGTAAGGTCTGCGTACACACTACTCTCCCCAGACCCCATTAAGTGAGATTATACTGGGTTGTTGTTGTTGTTGTATAATAATGCCCTCCATATTCTCTAGATTTAAGGGACTTTAAGGATAATTTTATCTTTAACCATACTAATGCATGCATTAATAGTCTTGGTATTACTAATGTCATGATTTTCTATGTATTACTTACAGAGGCAGATCTAGGATTTCCAGAGGATGGGTGCACTATTACTTTTTAATAAAAAAATTAAACAAAAACGTTGGCAGGGGATTTGATGGATTTGATTCCCTGACCTTAGGCTATTGGAAATAAGAGACCAAAACCAATGCACCACTTGGTCTCTTTTGACCATGGGTTCCATCAAGTATATATACCTATTTTCACTAAATATATACATAATATCTATACTTTAATTCGAGGACCACGGGTTCACGTGAACCATGTTTTACATGGTAGATCCGCCCTTGATTACTTATACATAGGATAATATCAAGTATGATGTATAACTAACACAAGCATTAGTTATACACATATTTAAAAAATATAACAAACAAGATATTAGTAATGCACAAATCTAATGCTTGCATTATTTTTTTTAATACCTCCTACCAAACGAGATTTAAAATAAGAGATTTAAAAAAAAGTGATTGCTTTTAATTAAAATTAACTAGTTCAGTATGGGAAAAATCTAGGGAAATTCGGCAAGGGAATAATTGTCCAAGTAAAAATTATTTTAGATTGACTTTCCGCGTTCTTTTTTTGTCATAACTTCATGTGTTCAACCATGTAGTGAAGTACAAGATTTTCAGAGCAGATTGTGAAATTCACTTTAAAAAGTAGTGATGATCTCGTGTTTAATTTTTTCTTTTTAAGTGTAATATGATATATCTAAGAGTTTAATATTTGTGAAACTGCAACATGTATAAGTGATTGACTTATCATAACTTAAATGATTTTGAATGGGAATACTTCGTGGAATATAATTGGCCATTATATGTGCAAATGATTATGATTAATGACGTTCTAAACTGGATCATTTATTTAGGTTAAAAGCACTCAAAAGTGGTTAGTAGAGCTGACGTGTTAGCATAATCTTCTTTCTCTTTTCGTTCCTGATAGTTTTATTTTGTTTTTGTTTATTTTCCGGTACTCGGTATTCACCTTGGAGCTCGATTAAATTCGAATTCACACCAAGACTTCCCACATTGTGGGGTAAAGACTCCTTAACAAAAGCGGCTCTATCTTCAAGACTCAACTCGAAACCTCTAACTAAGAATAAAAGAGTATTTACCACTACATTGATTTCTGTAGTTACTTGACTTGGAAGGCTAATTCACATGCCTCATGGCTTTTTTTGGGCTTAGAAAGGAAATTAATGCAATGCAACTTCATTAAGAAATAGCTTTATAAAAAATTATTACGGTTGTCAATTTTCGTTTCTTTATAGAAACTTCTATTCAGTTGCTTTTTGGCAAGACACAGACTCTCACTTCCCCAAGAAAATATTTGTGAATTGTAAATTGTAAATTGAAAATTGTATGTATCTGGAAACGTATAATACGTGCTTTTATTTCAACACGCAAAGAACTGTGTCAAAATGAAATTAAATTGATGAACCAATACAGGGGGGGAAATGAGAAAGGAAAAAACAAACGCACACACAAAAGATATACAAATAGCACCAAAAAGATATATTATATTGCCTGTCAATGAAAACGCTGGTCATTACTTTACATTAGCTTACAATTATATGGAGTGATCAACAACAACAACTCAGTATAATCCCATAAGTAGGGTCTGGGGAGGGTAATATGTACGCAAATCTTATCCTTACCCTGAAGGGTAGAGAGACTGTTTCCACGAGACCCTCGGCTCAAAAAAAAGCAACAGGAGTCGATATATTAATACCATAAAAATGCATAATAAAATAACAACAATATAAGAGATATGAAATTCAGAATACGAAATACGAAATAGATGGTTGGTATAGTAAAACTAGCAGGAACCCTGCATCAATAGACGACCAATGACATTCTTAGTCTAACTCCTAACTGGCTAGTATCACTCTATTGTGCTGTAGAAATATTCACACTCTCTCCTAACCTATAACCTTAATGCTCGACCTCCATAATTCCCTGTCAAGGGCTATGTCCTCAGTAATCCTAAGTCGCGCCATGTTCTGTCTGATCACCTCTCCCCAATACTTCTTAGGTCGCCCTCTACCTGTCTGATCAATAAATTTTAAATACTTTGACACATCTTTCTGCTCTTAAATAAAATTTTCGTTTAAATTTGGGAGAAAAATTCCATTAAGATGAGACACTTGGCACAAATCTGAGATGCAAGAAGCATAAAATTCTTTTGTTATGATACCTGACTGTGAAGGGTAGTGGTAAGTGGCGCCTGGGCTGGGCGTGTTAAGTTGGGTTTGAGTGGTGGAAAATGAATTGAACAAATACATATAGAAATCAAACTCGCTCATATTTCAGATTAAAAAATACGGGTTGAAAATTAATGAGCGGCTTAAAAATGAGTTGACTCATATAATATAAATTTATGTTTCAAGAAAAAATGTATTACCTAAATAAACTAGTAGGAGTATTACATTTCTTAAAGTTGTTTGCCCAATTTGTATTGAGTGCTTGTCATCTTTCTTTGCTTTTTTTTTTCTGGTCAAAATTAGCAATTTCAATTTGAAAGTAGATTATAATGGTATCTTTTTTATATATACTCTATTAGAAGATGGTGTGCAACACAGTTTGTGCGTCCCTCGACTAATTCACCAAGTGCCTGCCACCTCATAACAATATAAGTATCGGATAACTCTGCCCACCAAGACTAATCAGATGAGAAGAAATTAGTTAGATATTTGCTTCCTCCACAATGCTACCAAGTACCAATCTAGCTTAACTCTGATCTAATTGAACATTATCCTCCTTTTTTTTTATAACTGTGGTGCAACTTGCGCCTATCTCGACTAATTTCATGGAATAACTACCACCTCCCACCAACAACGGGTACCTAGTAACTTTATCCACTAAAACTTAAACAAATGGAAAGAAATCACTTAAGTGTTTATGACTCCGCTGGAGTTTGTCCTCAAGTACTTTGTAATAGCAGCAGGATGATCGCTCAAAGTTATAATATCCTGAAATTTTAGTCACATATATCCAAAATGCAGATATTTATGTGCAAAGCATTTCCTTATACGCAATCCTATATTTGAGTCATCACACTTCATATGTGCTTAGTAAGACAAATCCTCCAAATTCCCTGTTAATTTTCCATGGTCCATCCACAATAATCTGCAGCATTTTCACTATATTCAACCACATTATATTGAATATTTTCCATCCATTCAGTGCTTCCATTACCAGGTTGTCCATGATCATGCAACACAAATCCTGATAAGGTAATTCACTTAGATGTGAAGATGACTCCTATTATGATGTCTTTCGATTCAGATTCTACATGTCTCATTTGTAAGGGCAAATTCTGCAAATATAACAAAATGTCTACAATAGTATGAAAACCTCTTGATTGGCAGGAATATCAAGCAATCTTGCATAGCAAGAAACACATGACCTAAGTTTTCTAAAGAGTTACCAAATACAAAGAATACCATGCAAATCATCAGTTCCCTCCTCCAAAAAACTAATTTTGCAGGCACGCCATTATTTATCTCCAAAACAAAAAGAATTCTTTGGTGGAACTCCTGCTTTCCTAAAAAGAATCGGACTTAACTGCGCGCATTTACAAAACTTACCCAACGATAAAGCACCATAAGGGACATATGAAGATATGGATTTTGGGTCAGAGTCGGTCAATAAACAATCTAATTGCTAGCAGAGGGGAAAAAGTAATATGCAAAATATGCTAGAAGAAACAACTTTAGACCAAAGGGCACCTGAGGGTGAGGATCTCCATGATCTATATTGAACATCATATTCTTGCATCCGACTCCAATAAACCAGCACAAAATATGCGTGCCAATACAGACAAATGCATGATGAATTCAACGCCAACAATTGCCAATTAATCTAGTCACAAGTAATTTAGATTTATCCGTTACAAGAGAATATAAATACTCAAGTCCATCCGAAGCATAGAAGA